TTCTTCTGCGTTTCCCACATGGGTGCAGGGTCCCAAGGTCTTGGGCCATCCTCCACTGCTTTCCCAGGTTAGGAGCAGGGAGCATCCATACAGGATCCTGGTGCTTGCAAGGTGGGACGAGTGGGGGTTGATTTAGACATTGAGCCTTTGTGCAGGGGTCTGGTGAACATTTAAAAGAATTTTTTTTGAAATTTTCATTTGAAAGGCAGCATTGCAAAGAGAAGAGAGAGAACTAGAGAGCTCTTACATTTTCTGGTTAACTCCTGGTTATAGCTGTGGTTGCCATCTGGGGCGTGAACCAATAGAAGATTCTCTTTTCACTCTTTTTCTCTGCCATTCTTTCAAATAAAATAAATAAATCTTAAAAATAAATGCATTTATTTTATGTGTGAGATCCTATTGCATTGACCTCTGAAAACATGGACTTAAAAATACAAATAATTAACAAGAATATCAGAAAGTAATTGACCTTACTGATAGCTGTGAAAATCAGGGTTCAATTAAAATACTATTCTTTGCTAACTTTGGGCCTTTCCCGTGGTATGCATTCCTTGTGTAGCCAATTCCTCATTGTCGTAAGAGCCACTCTGTAATGCTTACTCCTGGAGGCCTTTTTGAAGTACTAAATCAAAACGAGTTTCCCCCTATCTGTGGTCAGGATGCTTATTTCCTTCTTGGCACCTCACTTTTACAAATCACCTATTTTTTTTTAACTTACGTATTGGTTTTTTCTTCAATAGAATGTAAGCTTTGAATGGAAAAGAAAAATATCTAGTTTCAAAAAGTACCTAATAAATAGTGATTCAATGAATAAACAACAACAACAAAAAAAGCAAACCTATCTTGTTTGGTGAAAGTTTTAAAGAAAAATAGTATGTAGAGTACAGTGTAGGATGGATGCAGTCACTGTGCTGGTTAATAAATTGGAGTGACCTTCCAGAATGGAAATTTTGCAAACTGTAACAAGAATCCTTAAATCTGATATCTTTTGACACGGTCATCTTTCCTCTTAGAATTTGTCCTAAAGAAGTCATGACTGCCAGAGGATGGGAGTTTTCTTCCCAACTCTTCCAGTATTTCCTGAGGAGAACAAATAGTTATCAAATGGGGTCATATTTTGTAGTTGTCTTTGGTTTCTCTTTGTGCCTTTTAATGGGTAAGACATGCAGAGGACTGAGTCCTTAGTTAGGCCTAGGGAACTTGCATTCTTTTTTTTTTTTTTTAAGATTTATTTTTATTGCAAAGTCAGATATACAGAAAGGAAGAGAGACAGAGGGAAAGATCTTCTGTCCGATGATTCACTCTCCAAGTGACCACAACGGCCAGAGCTGTGCCAATCCGAAGCCAGGAGGCAGCAGCTTCTTCCAGGTCTTCCACGTGGGTGCAGGGTCCCAAGGCTTTGGGCCGTCTTCGACTGCTCTCCCAGGCCACAAGCGGGGAGCTGGATGGGAAGTGGAGCTGCTGGGATTAGAACCAGTGCCCATATGGGATCCTGGTGTATTCAAGGCAAGGACTTTAACCACTACACTATCATGCCGGGCCCTTGATCTTGTATTCTAATCATCTTGCAAGTCTTTCAGTGCTCTTACTGCTGGGACAGTCTGTGTGTTGGTTGTCTATTTGAATTTAGGCATCCCGGGAAGCAGCCCTGTTTAGACCCTGAGACAAAGTAGCACCCCGATCTGATTTCCCAAAGAATATTGCTTTGGGGGATCTAGCAGTAACCTAGTGAAAAGTACTCTAGTTTGGGCACCCTTCCGCATTCCTGCCTGTCCTTTTGTTCATTCCTGCCTGTCCTTTTGTCGCTGTTAGCTCTTGCACCTTACTTCTCTTTCTTGTTTGCATGAAGGACAAACTTTGTATATACCTAGGTTTTCTAGTTTGAAGTGTTTTTGTAACAAGTGCAGATCTTTGAGAACCAGCAAGGATATAGGGAAGGTATTGCTTTAGGGTCTCAGTTGCTGCGTGTCCAGTTTTTCATGTATGTCACAACACCCTAATGAAATCAAATGTGCCCAGCATTGTCATATAGTGGATAAAGTTGCTGCCTGTGACAACAGTGCCCATTTTTCTCTGCTCCTCCATTTCCAGTCAATCTGGATCCCTGTTAATGGCTTCAGAACAGCAGCAGAGGGTAGCCAAAATGCTTGGGCCCCTGCCATCCATGTGGGATACCCAGGAAATGCTCTAGTTAATATTTCCTTATTTTTCTTTACTGCTTATGGCTTGCAGTGAAGATAGAGATTAGTAATAGCTTTCTTAGAGTTCTTGTAGTGTTGGTAGAATTTTAAGGAACAATTACTGTATTATAATGTTACCAACACGTAGAAGAAATCAGATTCCAGTACTTTTCTGCTGTAGCAGCCTTGACCAAGTTGTTTAACCCCCTATGTCTGCTTATTCTTCTATAAAATGGAGCTAATATTGTGTGTATCATACGGCTGCTCTGAGTAGGAAATGCAGTAATGAATGTGAAGTACTCAACACATTGCTTGGCTTCCTGTGAATAGAGTTCATTTCAGGCTAAGTTTTGCCCCTTGAATTTTTGTGTATTGAATCTTTCTTTATGCCCCGGTTTGTCCTTCAGCTTGCATTTCGGTGAATACTGTCAGATAGTGCTTTGGGAAAATAATAAACTGTTCTAGTTATTTCATGGGAATTTGAGATCATTAAAATCAGCAGATAGTAAGTATATTAAACTATGGTGGTAGTAATTCCAGTTGTGGCAGTAATGTGCAACTTGTTTGCATTATGTGGGCTCAGATCAGTAACCATATGTCCAAGTTGGTAGATTAGTAGTCGTTTCAGAAACAAAGAGGGGTAGGCATTTGGTAAATGGCTTAAACGGTTTTTTGCTTTTGGTTTTGTTTGTTAAGAAAGAACTGGATTCTTCAGTTCTTTGAAAGTGCCATCGTATTCCGCCCAGGGTATTCTCTCCTGTCCCCACCACCTGTGTCTGCCGATACTGCTTTTTCCTTATCAGCTGGAATGACAGCACTTTAAAAAGGCCTTCCCTGACTGTCTAGTCTGAGAAGTTCCCAATTCATCTTTAAAACATTACGTAAAGAAAAATCACAGCATTCATTGCTATTTGGTTCTTGATTTTTTTCTTTGCCCTGCCCCATCAGTATACGCCTTGAAGAGCAAGAATCTCAGCTGTATTGCTTATTTTCCTTAGCCTAAAGCAGTGTCCACAAAATACTGGTCACTATTTTAAAAATGAGATAAAGTGTCCATAAACGTGCTTCACAGAGAAATTACTGTTGTACACGATTATGAAATAGTGTCTGAATTTTACTTTTTATATTTGTTTACATTTTTGCACACATTGTGATTTTGCCTTTGTGGAATACGGCATTTCATTGTGTCTAAAAAATTTTGTACTGTTTCATGTCTCAAAGTGTGCTGTGGTTTACTTGGTAGCACAAAATGAGGATGTTTTAGAATATATTGTAATTTACATTTGATTAAATGTGGTATATATTTATTTTTCCCTGATTTCTGTTTATTTTTATTTAAAGCAGAGGGATATATTACATCTGCTAGATCACTTCCTAAATACCCACATGTGGTATATTTTAAAACAAAAATTGGATCCTGATGTTCAGCTCTTTTCCCACCTGAATATTTTGGGCATTTCCCCATGCTATTACAGCTAGGTCTGCCTCAGTCTAAACAGTGTCTTTCTTGTTCAACCAATTCCTCTTATTTATTTATTTTTTGAGATTTATTTATTTTCATTGGAAAGGCAGGTTTACAGAGAGAAGGCGAGAAAAGAGATCTTCTGTCTTATGCAGGTTCACTCCCCAATGTATGTAATACCCGGAACTGACCTGATCTGAAGCCAGGAGCTAGGAACGCTTCAGGTCTCCTTTGCCCATGTAGGGTCCCAAGGACTTGGCCTGTCGTCTACTGCTTTCCCAGGCCGCAAGCAGATCACTAGATGGGAAGTGTAACAACCAGGTTAGGAATTGGTACCCACTTAGGGTTCCAGTGCATTCAAGGCAGGGATTTAGCCGCTGAGCTGTTGTGCCGAGCCCAAATAATTCCTCTTGATGGACATTTGAGAGCATTTCTTGTTTGTTTGTTTGTTTGTTTGTTTGTTTTACAAATAAGGCTGTGTTGATTATACTTGTGGGTGTTTTCATGCACTTAGTGAAATTCCTGCATTGGAGAGTATCCATTTCTTTTGCAGTGGACTAGGGTGGGAACCTGTTTCCCTCCAGTTTTGCAAGCACTGCCTGTTAAGAAGCTGTTGGGTTTTTATTAATGAGTGAAAATGTTGTTTTCAGTGACATTTCTTTAATTGTGAATTAAGCTTATTTTCATGTTTGTTAGTTGTTCCTTTTTTGTGTGGTGCTGTTGCATTGGATAGTAGACTTTTAATTGGCTGATAAATTATCCCTGAATTGAAGGAGAAACTTCCACAATTTCAAACCCTGCATTACCAAATCAGTCATTGGGAGCATCTTTGTGGAGGACAAAAGGAGTTACTAACGGGCCAAGACTAAAATAGCCCCCACTGATCCGGGTGAGAGAATTAAGATCTTAGCTCAGTGGTGATAACTGGCATTGTGGCAGTGCATTTTTCTTACTTTACTTAATAGTTGGCTCTCTGTTGTTCAGAGTCCCATTGAGATTGAGTTTCACACAGCTGGACCTGTTATTTTGCAGAGATTATTTGAAATATTAAGTTAAAATATTGCTTAAAATATTAACTTTTGTTTTTCATTGTCTTAAATCTGTAATTAATTTATACTTTTATTATTACCTGTTCTGGTGTGAAGCTATATGGAAATAAAGTGGTTTTGATAATTTAAAAAATTGAGCAGTGTTAGCCCTTTTGGTATATTTAGTGATTATCTTTGAGATAAGGAATATGAACATGTTACCTTTGCATGGTTTATTAGATTAAAATTAGGTTATATAATTAATTGATCTTTGGGAATATATACTTCTTATGAGCTAATTTGTATTTCTTTCTTTCTTTCTTTTTTAAGGCTATTAGCAGAAGATGGTGGATCGTTTGGCAAACAGTGAAGCAAATACCAGGCGGATAAGCATAGTGGAAAACTGTTTTGGAGCAGCTGGTCAACCCTTAACTATACCTGGTCGAGTCCTTATTGGAGAAGGAGTATTGACTAAGTTGTGCAGAAAAAAGCCTAAAGCAAGGCAATTTTTCCTATTTAACGATATTCTAGTATATGGCAATATTGTGATTCAGAAGAAAAAATACAACAAACAGCACATTATTCCCCTGGAAAATGTCACTATTGATTCCATCAAAGATGAGGGAGACTTAAGGAATGGGTGGCTTATTAAAACACCAACTAAGTCATTTGCAGTTTATGCTGCCACTGCCACTGAGAAATCAGAATGGATGAATCATATAAATAAGTGTGTCACTGATTTACTGTCCAAAAGTGGGAAGACACCCAATAATGAACATGCTGCTGTTTGGGTTCCTGACTCTGAGGCTACTGTATGTATGCGCTGTCAGAAAGCAAAATTCACGCCTGTTAATCGTCGCCACCACTGCCGCAAGTGTGGCTTTGTTGTCTGCGGGCCCTGCTCTGAAAAGCGATTCCTTCTTCCCAGCCAGTCCTCTAAGCCCGTGCGGATCTGTGACTTCTGCTATGACCTGCTTTCTACGGGGGACATGGCCACATGCCAGCCTGCCAGGTCGGACTCTTACAGTCAGTCATTGAAATCTCCTTTGAATGATGTATCTGATGACGACGACGACGATGACAGCAGTGACTAAGGACATGTTTCCAAATATTTAATCGGGTTTGGCTCTTTGGGGAATCAGCTTTGCGGAAAATGTAGAACTCTGAGCTCTCCCTCGATCTTGCTCTAGCCGAGTTTGCCTGAGATACTTTTAACCTGTGTGCCTCAATACGTTCTATGAAGTTCCTTCTGCCTTCCTCCCCTCCCCACACTCTTCTACAGGGATAGACTGTTGCAAAAAAGAGCACATCATGGATTTCTTACTCTTGTTTATTTCTATATTATTTTCTTGGAAAGTTGGGAAAAGATGTTTATTTTAAACAGATCATGCATTATGTTTTTATTTCTGTTATATGGAAAAATTAAAAGCACAGAATGATGAGAAGAGTATAAATGTGGTTAATAATATTATGAGCTTTTTTTTTCTAACCTTCTTACCTAGTACTTCAAACATTGATAACAAAATTACAAGATTTGGAAATACTTTGGCTTTTTCATATACCAAGTGGTGCCTTATCTCAATAGCACTGTTCCATGAATGCTAAGCCACTATTTTCTCCGTTTTAGATTTGTTTAAAACTACACTGGTGCTCCTTGAGATAATGTGTTCATGAGTTTCATCAGGAATACTTCTCATCTGACAGCTGCAAAGACACGTTTTTAGAAATATCCTCAGAGTATTTGAATAAATGTTTCCCATAAAATATTTGTGATTATACTTTCGTGTTTTATACATTCCAAGTTATAATTGTCATATATATTTTAAGGTAATGAGCTGTCATTCTTAGATATTTGGTTGGAAATTTATCAGTAATACTGAAATGGCTTACTGCATTAGCTTCTACTTTTAGGGAGGCATTTTTAGCCATGAGTTCATTTGCTTTAACATTATTTCTGGAATGAAAAAAATATGAAAACCCTGAAAATAAGTCATCTCTTTAAGAAAAGATCCCAAGATATAAAGCACAGATGTACTTGGGCTTGGAGACTTGGAAAAATAGTGTGAAGTGGGTAAGGCAGACCACTTTCCAGCTTGCCTAGACTTGATATCTGGAAGTATTATCTATTTCAGTGTGAAACTCTTGAATTTACAAATGTAGTATTATATTTGATAAAGTTTTGTAAAATTTCAAGCAATATTTCTATTTTTGTAAAAGTTGTATGTTAAATCTGTTTCTGAAATCATTTTGTCATCTATGGAAATAGAGTATCAATCAAAATTTCGAAATTGGGAACTTTTGTCAGTTTAGATTGTTTTTAATGGTAATTTTTTTTAAAGATTTATTTTATTTTAATTACAAAGTCAGATATACAGAGAGGAGGAGAGAGAGAGAGGAAGTGGAGCTGCCGGGATTAGAACCGGCGACCATATGGGATCCCAGTGCATTCAAGGCGAGGCCCTTACCCGCTAGGCCACGCTGCCAGGCCCTTTAATGGTAATTTTTCCCTTTATGCTTTTGAGGCAGTCATTAGGTCGAGAATATACTAATCATACAAAACTTGATGCGTTTTGCACTACTCTCTTCATTTGTGTGCTGCAAATAACTAGTTTTTCCATATGGCAAATCAGAAATCTAAAGTTTGTTTTAAATTCTGCATCTTTTGAGAATTTGAATATATTACAAATGTCATGGAGCTGCAATCTAATTTATGGTGGAGGAGTCTGCTATTTTACAGTTTTGGTTAAGGCCCTGATTTTACATTCTTGCTAATTTTTTTTTTATTTGAAAGTCAGATATACAGAGAGAAGAGACAGAAAGGAAAATCTTCCATCTTGCGATTACTCTCCAAGTGGCCACAATGGCCAGAGCTGCGCCTGTCCAAAACCAAGAGCCCAGAGCCTCTTCTGGGTCTCCCGTGGGGATGCAGGGTCCCAAGGTTTTGGGCCGTCCTCGACTGCCTTCCCAGGCCACAGACAGGGAGCTAGATGGGAAACAGGGCTGCAAGGATTAGAACTGGCTCCCATATGGGATCCTTGCATATGCAAGGCCAAGGACTTTAGCCGCTAGGCTACTGCACCGGGCCCTCTTGCTAAATTTTGAAAGCATCTGAGATAGACATAATCTTCCTGTAGAAGATGTGAAAGAAAAGCACACAACAGGACTAGAGCTGTTTTTGTTATATCAGATGGACTTCTGTTCGTAAGCAATATGTAATCGGTAAGTCTTGAAGAACCATGAGATCTGAGAAATGCTGATGGAAACTTGCCTGGTACACAGGAACCAAGCAAATTCGGGCGCCACGGGGATGTGTTCAGGGACAGTGTTTGCATTGTCCACCTCTTTTTGACTCTTTTTACAATAAAAGTTATTTTACAAACTTACCTCTTATCCTCTGTATGTTATGACTTGAAGATTTTTCCCATTTACTAAAGATGAAATATATAACATTCCACCTCATTATTCAAACACTGTGAGTGCTCACTGCATTCCAAGTGTTGCCGTAAGCATGTAGGGTAGAAGCAGATCGCTGGTCAGTAAGCTGGGGGCCCAGCACTCTGTCCAGGAAGGAAGGCCGGGACAGAAGCCTTCTCGTGGCCGGGAAGGAAGCTAAGTGCTTGAAGCACCTGCTGTCTCCCACAGTGCACACTGGCAAGAAAAGGGAAGTAGACATGGAGCCGGGACAGGACCCCAGGCACTGCGGTGTGAGATGCAATGTTCACAGGCCAGATGCCTGCCTGGCTGCTTCTAAAACAACAGGATGTCAAAAGGCACTCTCACAATACTGCCTTTTGATTTTTAAATAAAAATTTGCTTAATGTTTAAGCATGGGTATATTCTGTGAATGGATTTTTCATATTATGGACAAGGGAAAATTAATGCTTAATCATCAGAAAGTGCCATGAAGTAAGTTGTGATTATACTTGTGGAAATGTGATTTAAAATGTAATGTTATTTATACCGAGTTTGGGGAGAATATTGTGTTTGCAAAAGTGGTAAAAGGTTGTTAGAATGGCATCTTACACTTTTATATTGAGTTCTGAAATGCTGGCTCTAAATCTTATTTTGCACAGTACTTTCCTCAGTAATGTACCTGTCTCCATGTCTGCCTACTGCTTACTAGATGTGACTTTCCCAAGGGAAAGGATTCCCTTCCATATTGTTAGTGGCAGGAATTGAGCTGCACTCCCATCATCTCCCATTACTCTCATCAGATCACTAAGCAGAAACGATGTGCTGTCGATGCCAGCAAGGTGGGGCTCTGTCAGTCCTAGACTGGGACCCCTCAATTCTTCTCACATGAAATAACGTAGCTGCTGCTATATTCTGCAATGGAATGTCAGGCGCCTAGCTCAAGCACTTTCTTCTCAGGCACTGTTTTAAACTGTGGGATTATAGCAGTGGTCAAAACTGTCTGAAATTCATTCCCCACTGAAGGGTAGACTGCAGCACATCACGCAATACAAAGGTAATGGTGTGGACCCGCTTCCTTGTAAGTTCAAAGAAACGCGCCAGAAGGAGTCGTCACACAAAGTAGTTGACTGGCGGCAAATAGAGACCCCTGGGAAGGGTTTCCAAAGCTGTGCCTCTACAGGCAGGAGAGATGGGGGTTTTAATTTAGAGGGAAGTTCTTGTATCATGTATAGGAGTTGGCAGAAGTTAAGGCAGGTGCAGTTCTAGAGCACGCTCCAACACAGGTTGCATGTTAAGGCAGCAGCTCCTGGGGAGGAGAGACCCTGGGATACTTTCTGAGCCATCTGTGCAGTTACTCTTGCAGTAGGGAGTGGCTGGTGACTACATGCCCTGGTCTTTTTCTCCATTGAAGACAACTTCTGAGAAATCTCAGGGCAGTAGCTAGGGACAAAATGAGGTAGTCGGGTGCTGTATTGAGGCTGATAAATGGAGCTTCATTTTGAATTCACACTGGGCATGAGAATAATTCAAAGCAATCAGAGAATTAAAGGGTAATGTGCTTTTTCATGGACTTTTAAATGTACCCTTGTACATAGCAGGTGTTGCCATAGATGCTGAAATGAATGAAAATTAAAGCTCAAGAGGAATTTTGCCTACTGTACCACAGTCAGCTATTATGCTATAATTGTAGCCTAAAGGATGAACATCTGTTTAAGTAACTGGTGCTTACAAATGAAGTTGGTGTCTAGTCCTGATGAAGGACTACCTAGACCCTGCTGGGAAATATTTGAATTAGATTCAAGAACAAACTTAACTGAATTCATTTTTGGTTTTCAAGGTCAAGTTTACACGTATTAATATTTCCCTTTGGGGGCTACTGAAGAAATATTTATCTCACTCTGAGATGACAAGAGGCTTTGCTGAGTGCATAAATTAGGCATGCGGGTAATGGGCTGACAGTTGGGCTGCTAGCCAACATGCAGCTCAGTCGGCTTATTTAAAGTCATCGTGTGTCCTGCTCTGTGGTCCAGAGTGGCTTTGAAGCCTGCTCCTCAGCTGCTCTATTTGGCTTTGGGGACAACCACTAATTAGGACTTGATGTACCTAAAGAATGCAGCTTGTCCCAGGCTCTGGCCGGTTCTTGGGACAGTGAACTTGGAGAGAAGGGGGTTAGGGTTATTTCTTGGCATTGGAGTCTGCAGAACAGCCAGCTCAATCAAGACTGCCTATGAGCGCCTCCCTGCCCTCGCCTCCCCTCCCCGCCCTCCCACTTCCCTGGAACCCTCAACTGCTGGGTGATTTTGCCCAGATGTTGCCCGGTGCAGCCTGCTGGATACAAGCCATCTTAATAAAACAGTGACTTGCTGTCTCCATGCCTGTTTGTCAGGCTTGGTTAGGGGTGGTTCTATCCATTCATTCGGCACCTTGCACAGAGCCTGGCATGACAGGTGCTTCATGATGGCTTGGTGAATTGAATCAGATAAAAGCACTTGCTCTTAAAACTACCCTCTGAAGAGGAAGGGAAGTGTCTACACACCCGGGGCCTCTTCTTTGAGCAGGTGCAGGCAGCTTAGTGAAACACTGCTGCTTGCTGGTGATGATTCAGATCATCGTGTCCAGTGCCAGGAGCAGCAGGCGCCTGGTCCTGCCTCCTAGGCTGCTCTGTGGTATGACAGGAGGGGTGGCTTGCTTGGCCTTGTGTTCCAAGTGCCAGAATGACAAGCCCACAATAGGGATTTCCCCCAGAAAAGACATCTGTGCCACTTCACCGAGATGCGATGTCTTGGCTGAGCCTGCCAGGCCTCTGTGTACAAGACTATTGCCTTGGTTTTTAACATATTCCACACAGAAGAAGCTTCCCCAGGCTTTCCCTTTCCATATATATATATATATCTTTTTTTTTTTTTTTTTTTTGCTAGGAAGGTAGAAATAGATCTTTCATTGGCTGATTCACTCCCCCAAATGCCCACAACAGCTGGGGCTTGGGCCAAGCTGAAGCCAGGAGCCAGGAACTTCATTCCCAACTGGATGGCAAGACCCAAGAACTTGAACCATCACCTGCAGTTTCTAAGGGCTGTGCATCCAGAGGAAGTGGAACCCAGGCTAGAACTTAGTACTCTGGTATGGGATGCAGGTGTCCTATTACCCCTATTGTTAACCCCGTGTTTTACCTTTTCAACTTGGCAGACCGAACCGGGACTAGGAGAGTGGCAAAGGTCTTTGCTCTTGGGCAGGTTGTCCAACATTTCCATGTTGGACAAATAGCACGGTTGCTCACAGGTATGCTTTGTTGGGGGGAGAATTAGATTTTTTTTTCAACCCAGCCCCATTGGTGAGCAGCTGCATGGCCACA